TAAACTATTAACAGCACTGCGACACAAATCCATGGTGGCATTAAGTAGTTTAAGACGTTCCGTGAGATTAAGCTGGATCTCATCAAAGTATAACAAATCGTTAGAATTTTGTTCTTTTTCCACTTCTTTTTGCGCCTTCTCCTCCTCCTGCTTAGTTTCCAAGGGTGCTATATTATTGTTAAATTCTGCGGTAACTTCTTGGTTGTTTTCAATTTTAGTTATAGTTATTTCGCTCTGAGGCACTGGCGTTTCCACCAAGTGGCCGGTATTGTTAAGTTGTATGAATTGTGTTTGAGGATTTTCCAAAATATCATTTAAAATCACCACATTGTTTACATGATGTAATTTGTTTGTGTTTAACTCATTTGTTTCCATCACTTCCAATTGATCTTTTTGTGTATCTAAAAGCAAATCAAAATAATGTTGGTGTTACATTAATATTTAGTTAAACTTTTATTTACCATTAGTCTTATTTCCTTCGCTGGTATTAGATTTAGACTTCGATGATTTTCCTTGAGATGAACTTGTGTAACTAGCTTTATATTGCGAATTAGATTTAGGACCTCCCATGCTTTTGTCACCCTCATCATCATTAGAATCTGTGGATTTGCGTCTTTGTGTCTTGTGCTTAGCCTCAGCATGATCATCTTTACGTTCACTGCGCTTTGAAGATGAAGACGAAGAGGAATGATGTTTGCGTTCTGAATCACGTTTGGATTTTTTCGAATCTTGATTTTCATTTGACGATGAGGAGGAATGTGAGTGTGAATGTTTTGTATGTTTTGAGGAGGAATGCGTAGAGGATGAAGAAGATTTGTCGACGTCTTTTTCCGATGACTTATTATGTGATGATGAATATTTGCTGGAGGAAGATGAAGAATGTTTGCTACTACTTTTGTTGCCACTGGAGCTGGAGTGATGCCTGGATGAATCCTTTGAATCTTTGCTAGAGCGATGTCGATCCCTGCTGTCTTTCTCCTTTTCTCGTTCATGAGAACGTCGCCGCTCTTTTGAGTGTTTCTTATGTTTCGAAGAAGAGGTTGAAGAATGTCTACTTTGATGTTCCTTATCGGGTTTTTGTGTTGCTACTGGTGAGGGTGTGGCTGTGGGAGTGGGCAGAGGTGGTGTGGGTATGGGTGTGGTATTCGGTGTGCTAGGACGTATTGTTTGTTTTGGTGTTTGCATTTGTGGTAAATCTTCTTTCTCTTTTTGTTGTGCAGAGGTTTTAGGTGTCTGATTGGGCGGCACAGATGATGAATCCTCAATACTGGAACCAAAACTTAATTCTTGGGCATTGGGGGTACGTTCATAGTCCTCTTCCTTGGTTTCCATATTCGACTTGTTTGTGCTAAACTTGAATGAATCGTTTTTTGTGTCCGATGAAGGAGTTTCTTCGTAAGCTTCCTCTTCAGATTTATGTGTTGCCGTTTCAGTAATTTCCAGACCTGATTTACGTTCTGTACCTTCGAATTTAATTTCATCTTTTTTAATATCGAAGTGTAATTCGGACTTCGTAGAAATTTTGTCATTTGCATGGCCATTTGTCGAGGCATTGAGCTCACTAGAGTTTTCATTAAATTTGGGCATTTGAGCCTCTTCGGATATATTGGCCGCTACGGCTTCTTGGGAACTGCTTTGCAAAGAATCTTCTTTGCCATTTACCGACAAACGAGAATCACTGGAGACACTAGATAATTGGGAATCTTGTGAAATTCTGGCATCCACCGACTGACTAGCATCTTTATCGATTGCAGCTGATTCAGTAGCAAAATTACTGGTTTCCTGGCTGTCATTATCGTTGGCCATATTTTCGGTTTTGAGCGCAACTTCATTACTCTCTTCAAATTTGTTGGTTTTATCATATAAAGATTCATCACATTCTTTCTTGATGTTGGGTTTTTCCTCTTTAGTTTCTACTGTTACTAACTCTTTGGTTTCTTCCAGTTCCTGCTTAACCAATGGTTCAAAGGGCGGAGATTCTTCTTCGTCTTCAATAAGTTTCTCCTCAGTGTCCATATCAACTGTAGAACGGTCATCTTTACCTTCAGACTTCACAGTACCTTTATCCGAATCTGGACTTACTTGTTCCAGATCGGTGGGTAACAAACTACAGGTCTCCACTTTTAGAGGTGGCGCATTCAAGGGCAATGGCGGCAGAGGATGCATTAGCGGTGGTGGTGGAGGCTCAAATTTCTTTGGCGGTGGTGGCAAACCCAAATATTTATAAGCTATCTCCTCTATGCGTGGCTGAAAAACACTACCTATCTTAGGGTTAACCACTTGATCGACAATTCTTTCAACGCCCACATCCAGAAACCCCGACTCTGTTATATGCCTCCTTAACTTTTCTCTTAACTGGTTTTTATTCGTTTCTGGTGTCCATTTTTGTTCCGATAAAAATTTCTTGACTGTATTCTCCACACGTTGTCGGAGATTTTGATAGGCTGGTTTAGTGTCCACATCTGCCATGGAATCTTTGCGAAATTCATCAAACACCCCCTGGGACTTTACTTCATGGACAATCTTTTCCACTAGTTGGGTATCCATTGTGGTAAATGGATTAGTGCTAGTATTTTAATAATTCCAATAATAAATTGCGATGTTTCTCCAAAATAAATATTATTCCATCTGCGTTTGTTTTGATAGCTAGCAGGTTTCGGAAAAATGCAAAAAAAAAAATTGAGAGCGCAAGAGAAAAGGATGCCAGACTCAAAGAAAACCTAGGTTGTACCAAGATAAAACCGATTCCAATAATGGAAAATCGCTTTAAAAAGAAAAAAGTCACAAATTGGTTTATGTACATATTTATCTGTTCGCTTAAAAATATGCAGAAAAATAAGTACATTTTAATTAAAATTGCAACAGATGAAGATATTTTTGCCCCGAAATATTTGGTCCAGTTGTTTATTTCTTGGGGGAGGTCTGTTAAAATATCAAAATATTAAAATATCAAATCATCTGCATAAATAAAGAAAATTATGCAAAATCCGGTGAACAGAAATAATTTTAATAATTTCGTTAAAAGCAATCTGAAATAGGACTACCGAGAGCGGTGATCCTTGTGGAATACCGTTACTTAGAGGAAATAAATTAAAATTAAAACAAATATTGTGTTTATTTTTAATTTCGATTTAAAATATAATATACTAACTACACAGAAAAAAGTTTCAGCATAAATATTATGAACTGCCTTCATTGACTAAAGTTAATAATATTTAAGAATAAATTCTTAAATGGTATGAATTTTTTCATATATATTTTTTCAAACAAAATCTAGAAGCATTGACTTAAAATATTTCAAATTTAATTTCTATTTTGCTCTTTGTTAAAATTGTTTGAAATTTTCTTTGAAATTTTTTATTTCTTTATGATTTTTAAATTAAAATCGATGAAATGTTCGCGTAATTGGAGGGAATTTTATGAAGAATATGCTTGTTGATGTTTTCTTGTTTTAGATTTTGTTTTTAACATTTCAATTTCTGTTTTTTAATGATACAAAATACGCTAATAAAAAAAATTTCCTTCATGTTCGAATTTATACATTTTATGAACTTTTAATATTCTGAATGAAAATGGTTTGGAAAAAAAGTCATGTTCGATTCATAATATGATATATTTTTTCTTTGTATTACGATTTCTATATAAATATTTTATTTATTTATTTATTTATTCATTCATTCAAGTAATACAAAGCCTTTAAGGCCAATCTAACATATTACTTAGTAATTATCACCTAAGCATAAATAATTAAAATAAAATAAAATTATATATATGTACAAAAATAAATAAATTTTAATCAGATTCTATCAAAATTTTAATAATATTATAATTTATAATAATTAATTAATTATAAGTTTCCAGCAATTTAAAAAATCGCTTGAATTTCTTTAATTAGTCGCTCAACCAAAAATACTGTGAGAGTGGCGTCACATACCCACGCCGTTTCAGCTTAAAACCGACTAAGCCTAGCCGCCGAACACAATGTCAAAGTCGTCGTCACCAAAAAGTTTTCAGCTTAAGACAGCTTGAAAATTTTGTTATATTTTGAATAATTTACAGAACACTTTCGCTAAATTTATGGAATTTTACAATATAAAACTTATTTATTTTAATTTCAAGAAGTATGCTTTTATTTAATAATAAGTCGGTCATTGAAATTTGGACGCCGTAAAACATTGTTCAACGTTCGATGTGTATGCTTCGCCTCAGATATTATCGAATTTACGCGCCTTTCTGCCGTGGGCTGCTAACGTCAAAGAAGCATTGTTTGAAGCGTCGGCAGCGTCAACCATCCGGCACCAAAATACATTGATTGCTTGACAAACCGTAATCGACTAGGTCGTCAAACGTGTACATTTTAAATGGGAAATGCTGTTGACGTCTTTTCTGCCGACTGCGAAAAGAAGTTCTGCTGCTAGAATTTTTTCGCGCAAATATTCTGTCAGATATTATTGTGAAAGTGGCGTTGAACGCAAAAAAATAATAATAATCCCTTAATTGTATAATTTTAAATAAAAATTTTGTTAAATTGTGTTTAAAACTAGCAAAAGTATGAAAACTTATCAATGTGATTGTGCATACAATAAAAAATTCCCTTAAAAGTACAAAAAACAAAGAGAAAAAGAATTATTGCCCACTCACAACTGTTTAGACACGCTTTACAACGCAAAGAAAAAACAACAAAAATCAAATTGTACAGCCATGGAAACTCTTGGCGGTGGAACAGAAAATCACACAGAGAATTGTACTCGTTCCAACAGACGTGTTAGAAACAATAATAATAACAGCAACAATAAAAGTATTACCTCAAAATTAAATGAATCTAAAGATCAGGAAAATGTAAATAATACCAGTGCTGTACAAACTGAAGCTGCGGACACTTCCATAAAGGAAGATTTGACAAAAAGTAATACCACTATAGATGCTAAAGTACATAACACTTCAGCAAACCTAAATTCCTCAACACCTAGAAGTAAGTTTAGATTTTTAAGTCAATTTCATTAAATTGTGGAAATTTGTGTTATTGTATATATTTTGTGTTTCTATTTTTTGTCTCAGGGAAAAAAGATCCCTTAGCTAATCTTCATTCAAATTTAAGTCCCAAGTATATTGGTTTCACTACACCACCTCATCAATTGAACAGCAGTAAAGAGGAAAGAACCAGAAGTTTAAGAAGACGTCATAATAACAGCATTAACAACGCTGATAACTCTCTGGATAAAGAATCCGGTGATTTGACCTTTGGTACATTTACCCCAAATAATGAATCAACAGTAGGCTTTGTAAGACGTACTCCCAGAAATAAAGATTCTCAATCTACGCCCGATAGCAGTAGTGCAAAAAGAAAAGAATTTGTTAGTCCTATAGATAAATTGTTGATAAAAAATGGTGCCATCATGGAAAATAACAATAATTTGCCCTTAAAAGAATGTGATGAGGTAAACTCGAAAGGTAAAGAGTTAATTAAGAATGAACAAAATAAAGTGAAGGAAATGGAAACAGAATTAGGTGTTAAAAAACTGGAAAACTGTGATGAAATAACAGATTTAGATTCTGTAAAAGAGTGTGAAGCAAATAGCTCTATATCGGATGGCAACTGCGATGAGGCCATAAAAGATAAAGATGAAAATGAAGACAGTATTTCTGTATCCAGTGTAATAGCCAAGCAATTAGAAGATGATGATGAAGAAGAAATAGAAAATAAAGAGGATGAAAAAGAAAATATTTCGGAAAATGAAGCAGACACTAATCAGCATCAATTTAATGAAGAAGATGAAGAGCAGCTAACCAATCTCGAAGAAGCGGAAGATGAAAAGCAAAGTGATGTTGGAACTGAAAAGGATGATGTTAAAAATATATCTAATACTTCGCTACAGAATCACGAAATCGTAACGGAAACCAATGGAAATGAAGCAGAAGCTAAAGAAAGTGACAAAAATGATGAAAAAAGGTGTTTGGAAGAAAACTCTGATGAACAAATGGAAACCTCAAAACCCTTAAATGAATCTGTTATAGAGTCTCCTGAAACTGGTGAACAAAATGAAAAGTCCCAAGTTAAAATTGAATTGGAATCCGTTGAAACTGAAAGCAATAATGAATTTGTGGTCGAGGCGACGGCCTCCGCAAATTCTCCCTCAGCTGTTAGTATGGACAGTGCCAAAGGTTCTTCTATAATTAATGAGGGCTCTTGGATGTCCTTCTCAACGGGAGATTTATACTGGGGTCAAATCTACAATTATTGCTATTGGCCTTGTATGGTTTGTCCAGATCCCGAAGGCAAAACCATAACCACGGAAGAAGTTGGTCGTTCGGGCGATCAAACAGTTTTGGTACACGTTCGTTTCTTTGCCGACAATGGTCGTCGCAATTGGGTTAAACGTGAAAATCTCATGCCCTTCAATGGCATTGAAAGTTATCAGGAACGTATTGATGAGGTGCGTGAAAAGTATGGTCCAAAAAGTTCAAAATATAAATTGTATGTACCGACAAAACGAAAAGAACCCGTTTGGTATGATGCCGTAAATGAGGCCAATCTGGTAAATGAGGTGGCTTATGCTGAAAGATTGGAGAAATTTTATGAAATTTTTGAAAAATCAAAGTGAGTATTTAAGCAATATATCATTATCTAAAACTTTCACTAAAAATAAAACTTTATTTTTCATAAAAATAAAAAATCTTCACCATAAATTTTGAAATTTTAAAAATAATTCTCTACCCAATTTACAGAGCTTTTCATAAACTTGAAAAACAACGTCGCAAATCAATGTACATATCAGTTAATACAGCTAATAACTCCGACATTGAGAGTTTTTATGGTTCGAATGATAATATCAACAGTTTATCGGTGCCAGCAGTGGCAAAACAGAAACGTGAACGTTCTATATCGCCTTATAGTCCGGCCTATTCACCCATTAAACCAGTAGCGTCAAAACGAAGAAAACTGAGTGAGGAACAGGAATTGGTTCCAGCAACCTCAACATCGTCCCTAGTAGTAAAAACCGAAGAGAATTCCATCAACACAGCAGACCTTAATTTAAGTCAAACTAATTCGGTTGCTTCCACCAGCTCAAATTCGAATTCCTTAAATGATTTGGAGATTTTCAGTGGCCTTGAATTTAGAAAGTTCTATGCAGTCATGAAAGATTTTGTTATGGAACAAAATCATAATGAGAAATTGGAAAAGAGTCTAGTAGTGGCAGTACGTAATATTTGGGCACTTAAGCAATTAAGCCGCCGCCAAATGGAGCGTAAACTAAGGGAATCATTAACAGAAACAGATATGTCCACTTCATTAGCAGTAGCAAATGATCGTCCTGCAACAGGTGACGGCTCTGTTAAACGTTTGTCCTCGCGCTTGAAAACCTTAATGGTAAGAAAATCTCTAATGGCCCAACAAACACCCGAGGGTACGCCCGAAAGATCTGAGACACCAAAGCCCGCTACAAAAGATACACCAACTGTCAGGAAACCCCTTAATAGACCCATACTAGAGGTTATCGATGATATTTTCGAATTGGAGAGTAAATATCTTTTCAAGGGCCTGAGTCGTGATCCGGTATGCAAATATTGCTTTAGACCCGGCGGAAATCTAAGAAGGTGTGCTAAAAATTGTAGTTATTGGTTACATAACGAGTGCCTTTACAGAGATTTCAGTCAAGGAGGCAAAAGACGCGGGCCTAAAGCTATAAATGGTGCAAAACCCCACAATGATACTTTAAATGGCAGTCACAGTTCTTCTGTGACCAGTCTAAATGAAATAGGTACAATAGCTCATGTGACTGGAGACACAGAGGCACCATTGGCCGAGGTTATTTGTAAAGAGTGTAGCAATAATGAACCAACAAAATGTATGGTTTGCCAAAGCACCGAATCGAAAAAGGCTGACGATCCTTTAGTCAAATGTTGCATGACACAATGCGACCGTGCTTTCCATCCGGCTTGCTGTAAATATTGGCCACAAGCCAAAATCACCATATCGAAAAATCACATAGAATCCTTTCGCTGTCCATCACACGTCTGTCACACTTGTGTCTCTGATGATCCGAAGGGAAAGTTCCAGCATTTGAGTAATGCTAAGCTGACAAAATGTGTTAAATGTCCTGCTACATTTCACACCGACTCAACTTGCATACCTGCCGGTTCTCAAATACTCACAGCAGCCCATATCATTTGCCCGCGTCATTCAAGTAGCAAACACGACATGACAGTTAATGTTAATTGGTGTTTCATATGCGTTGGTGGCGGCCAAGTTATATGTTGCGAAACTTGTCCTACTGCCGTGCATGCTCAATGTCTGAAAATACCTATTGACCCCAATGAGGGTTACATATGCGAGGAATGTGAATCGGGACGTATGCCCTTGTATGGTGAAATGGTTTGGGCGAAGTTTAATAACTTCCGCTGGTGGCCGGCTATTATATTGCCACCCACAGAAATACCGAAAAACATAGCGCGTAAGACACACAATCCCTCAGATTTTGTGGTGAGATTTTTCGGTACTCATGATCATGGCTGGATCTCAAGACGTCGAGTGTATTTGTATCTGGAAGGCGATACTTCGGAACCACCCAAAACGAAGTCAAGTAAGTGTCAACGTGAGGGCATAATTTATGTTTAAGATTGTTGTAATTGAAATACTCTCCTTAGGTTTAGATTTAAGCTACAACAAAGGTGTCGAGGAGGCTAAAGAAGTCTATGAAATTATAAAAGCTAAAAAACTGCAACAACGTAATTCGAATGAGAACAAAGAGAAATTACATCCCCAACCTTATGTACGCATTAAGGCCAATCGTGCTGTGCCACCCGTCAAACTGCACATTGACATTGAAAGTGTCAGCAAGTGTGAGTGTGATCCACGTGAAGAGAATCCTTGTGGACCCGATACGAATTGCCTAAATCGCGTTTTATATCACGAATGTAATCCTAAGATCTGTCCTGCCGGTGAACGTTGTCAAAATCAAATGTTTGAATCACGCATTTCACCACGTTTAGATGTAGTCTATATGAAAGAAAGAGGTTTTGGTTTGATCTGCCGTGAACCCATAAAAGCGGGCACTTTTATTATCGAATACGTGGGTGAGATAATAAACGATGATGAGTTTCAGGCACGCATGCAACAAAAATCACGTGATCGTGATGAAAATTTTTATTTTCTATCAGTGGAAAAGGATTATATAATCGATGCGGGACCCAAGGGTAATTTGGCTAGATTTATGAATCATTCCTGTGATCCTAATTGTGAAACACAAAAGTGGTCGGTTAATTCTTTAAATCGTGTGGGTCTTTTCGCCATTAAAGACATACCAGAGGTAGGGAGAGGGGATTATTGGGGTTTATTTCTTTATAGAGAGTAATAATAATAATTTTGTGTTTTATTTAGAATACTGAATTAACCTTCAATTATCATTGGGATGATTTATTGGGCAATGAAAAGAAGACTTGCTTCTGTGGGGCGAAAAAGTGTGCTGGACAAATTGGTGGCAAGATTAAGGATATCGAACCTGTTAAGGTGAGTACAGTTTGGAAAAGTGAATAAAATGTGTTTAAAAAGAAAAACAAATTTTTTGTTTAAAACTTTTTGCTATGAAACTATTTACTTAAAACATAATTTTCTTTGAATTTAATAATTTTAACAAACTATAACAACTTCTCTTAAAGGAACCTATTGTCCCAAGTGGAACTGGTAAAAATAAATCGAAAACTAAAACAAAACCCCTTAAGAGATTACTAAACGGTGGCCTTAAAAATAAACTGGGAACAAAGCTGAAAATCAACACTAAAACAAAAACTAAAACCAAAAAAATGGCTGCTGCCGCCACAGTGGCCGCTTTATTGGAGGTAAAAACTGAAAACACAAATCCTACAACAATAAGCGTGGACCTAACCGAAGAAACGGAAGCAACTGAGGAAGCCTCTACTAGCAGACGTTTAGAATCACCCGATATATTTTGTTAACTAGCATTTAATTAATTTTTTTTCCAACTAGTTGTGTGAACTGTAAATGATGATAAATATGTATTTTTATTTATATACAAATGTATTTTTTATATTCGTTTCAAAATCCATTATTTGATTTATTTTTAAAAAAAACAAATGCACGCTTATATTTTTTTTGTTTAGTTTTCTCGCGACATTTTGTTTAAACTTAATTATACTTAACTGTCTTTTTTAAGCAGATCATTATTATTACTATTACATATTATTACCAATATTTTGTTAAATTCTATATACTCCTGTTACAGTCAACAGTTTATTTAAATGTTTTTTTTTTTTTTTTGTTTTCCTCTAAAAGTAAAAGATTTAGCTGTAGAAAACGTTTTATATTAAAGAATACACACAGCTTCATATAATTTTAACTTTATGTAGTTGAAATAAGAGAATTTATATGTTTATTATTTATATACTATATATACATACATACATACTTACTATATGAATTAGTTATAGAGTTGATTTGCAAGAGTTCGTCGTATTTGCTTTGCTGATCATTTGTTTATTTAGAAAAAATGTTGAAAAAAGAAAACAATTCATTCGTATTCGTATTAAGTGTGTCTCACTCATCATTTTCTTTTTCTAAATCCCTCACCACCCTATATTTTCCTGTCCTCTAAAAGCATTTTATTTTTGTTTAAGTCTACAGAAGTAAATATAATAAAAATAAATATATTTTTGCAAAATACAAATAAACAAATTTTGGAAATAGTTTTATTTTATGGGTACCTGGAGTAACCTCTTTAAAAAAAAGTATAAATAAATAAATCAACTTGAATCTTTCGAAATTATTATTTTTTATTCATATATTTATTACAAAATATCTAAATTGTAGAGTATTTCTTTACTTAAATCTTTATAAGATTCATTATATATAAATCTATATAAAAAAAGCATTTCAGTCAGAAAAAATTTCATCATTTTTGGACTAAGAATATGTGGATATACAAAACTCCTGCTCAAAAAAAAAAATGTCATAGATGTTAAATGATTTTAATCATTACGTTTTGTATACAAAATTCTTTTTCTTGTTTTTAGAATAAATTGAACTTTGGCATTTATAATTATATAATTCCTAAATAAACTGTTTTAAACAGTACTTAAAATTATTATAAAAGGAAATGAAAAATACAGGAGAATAAATGAGAGAATGAAAACCAAAAAAAATAAAACGTAATGCAATGAATGAAAATGAAAGAAACAATTTACACAGTGGTTAGGTATGCCTCTTGAAAATGAAATTAAAACGAAAAAAAAAAAGAAAATGATTTTTCAAAATAAAAAATCATCAAACTAAGAACTTAAAAGTAACCATTATTATACAGTGGCACAATATTTGTTATACGTTGTACAATATTTTTCAAAGAATCACGTGACGTTTCGTACAGCGTTCCCAAGGCCAAAAGACGTAAACCACACTGGTTGCTTATCTCAATCACATACCATTTTTCGAGAACTTTTAAACAATTCCTAACAGAATCGGTTGATATGCTTTCAGCTAAAAAGAAAGTTTTTTTTATAGATTATTAAAAATTATCTCAAAGGATTACAATTAGAAAGTAAACTTACCATAAGGACATTTGTGTGTATTAACTTTGTTGTTCAATTCTTTCATGACAAACTTAATAAAGTCTGTTTCTAGCATAGAGTTTTTATAGAGTATGAATAAAGATTCCACCACACATAGATATGTCTGAGCAAATGGTGCCAAAACTTCACATAAAGCCTTTTGTTGCACTATTGTTTCTTTGTTTAAGAATAAATCAGGTTCATCTTGTTCGGCATTCACATAATTATTAGTCAAGACCTCGTTTTCGTCGTCATAATCATCGTCCATATCGTTACTTTCAATATAAGTAGCAATAGCACGAGCCATACGGCGTGTTTCTACAGTACCTTCGGTTTGTTCATCAATCTGCAAATGTTTAGTAAAAGCATTTTTTGAAAAAAAGTTTTTTAAGCTTAACTTATAAAAAAGTTAAACAGTGATATTCTATGAAAGTTAAAAGTTATTTATGAAAAAGTTTTTGTCAAAAAAAGATTTTTATAAAAATATTTTATGAGAAATGCTAATAAAATCTTTTTACGAAAAACGATAATAAAAGCTTTTTTATGAGAAAAGCTAATACAAGTTTGTTATGAAAAAGATAATAAAAGCTTATTATGAAAAAGCTAATAAAAGCATTTAACAAAAAAGCTAAAAAATAATTGTATGAAAAAAGCTTTTGATAAAAAACTATAAAAAGCTTTTTATGAAAAAAGCCAAAAAAAGCTTTATATAAAAAATCTAATTAAAGTTTTTTATAGAAAAATTTAATAAAATATTTTTATTAAAAAAGCTAACAAAAGCTTTTAACAAAAAAGCTAAAAAAGTTTTTTGTAAAAAATCTAACCAAAGCTTTTTATGAAAAAAGTTAACAAAATCTTTTTATGAACAAAGCTAACCAAAGTTTTTACAAAGTTTAAAAAAAACTCACCTGTGCCGGTTTAATTAAGTTCTGCATTAATAATTCGTCTAAGGCTGTTTCGAGCATATTTTCCAAATTTTGTGTAGGTTTGTTAAGAATGTATTCATAACGATAAACTTCACAATTCTCCAAGGCGGTTTCTATTAACTTTTTGCGTGAAATACCAGGCCCATTCTATAAATATTTATAATTTTAATAAACTTTACAAATAAAATATTTATAAAACCAAATACCTTTTTAAACTGTTCCTCATTAACTTGTGATTTCTTGGGCAACAAGGCATGGAACGTTGTCAATACAATAGACTGCAGAGCAAAGTGTGGCGTTAGCATATTCGAATAGTAGGCCAATTCTATCCAACTCTCAATACTGCCCTTGGGACGTATAATCACTTCGCCAATATCATTTTTAGCTCTTTGTACTAGTTCTTCACCCAATAAATCGGTGGCATAATTAATAATATGTACTGAATCTCCGGAGAAACCGAGATCTTTGCGTCCCTTTAAAGTGCTACGCAAATCATCTAGACCTTTGGCAATTTCGTGCGGTGTAGCTCCATGACGATAGCGTGTTAGAAGTAAAAATGCTAAAGCATTCGTTGACATAACTGAAGTAGCGGCAGCACAATCGAAAACAACTTGTCGTGAAATACTGTCAATTAGGTTGCGATGTTCTTCACACACGACATCGGTGCCGTAAAGAGAAGAGGTAGATTGGTTGTGTTGTAGGGTGCGAGCAGATGGTTTATAGATCTTTAGCGTGCCATCCTCTTTGGCGATTTTATTGTACGATTGTACTAACTCTTTGATTGAGTAGGGTTCATTGAAATCGATGCGCATTAAACCGTATTTTGAGTTGAGGGCCTTAAATATGATGAATAGAAAATTTTAGTTAGAACAGTCATCTTAACATGAGCAATATATCAACACTTACCTTCCATATGCCCGCTATGGCATTTCCAAACGATTCTGGCACTTTCTTTTCACCCTTTTGTTCGCGCACAAAATTACCATCGACAATTTTCTCGTAGTTTACAGACACCGGCACCAGCAATGCATCCGGTATGCTACGGTCCATAAATGCATTAACAATTACCGATAATATGCCACCTTTAGGCATGCAAGGTTTTCCGGTGCGCGTACGTCCTCCCTCAATAAAGAACTCCACATTGTGGCCCATTTTCAAAGCGTGTTGTAAATAAAGATGTAAAATAGCACGATACAGTATATCCTTTTTGCCTACTACAGGATCAATTTTACGTTTAATAAAAAAGGCACCCAAACCTCTTAATAGTTCACCAAATACCGGTATCTGTAAATTATTGCCGGCAGCCACTAGAGGACTGCGTATATCATTGTTGGTTAAAATGAACGTAACCATTATATAATCTAAATGACTGCGATGCAAAGGCAAGAATATTAGTGGTATACCAGGAGCTTTTTCAGAGGCAGCTTTTAACATTTCAATTTGTTGGGTATGCGTGACCACACCGGATAGGAAACAGGGCAAGAGTTTGTACAACAACCAAGAAGTAAAAGCCAATAAAAAGTTATTGAGTGTAGAACGCATGTCCTTTAATATGGAAATGGCTCTTCGTTCCTGACGATTTATGATATTTTGATAATCTTGACTATCATCCTGTTCCGACGGCGACTTTGAGCCAACAGCATTCGTTTTTTTGTTGTCATTGAGATCTTCATTTTCTGCGCATTCCTTGAGTAATTGTTGTTCGCGCAAAATTTGTTCTGCTGCCTGTTTAATGGCTCTTTGCAATATGGGATCTTTTTGTACTAATGACGAAACCTTTAATTAAACAAATTTAAATCAAGATATTTAACATTTTTATTAAAATTAAACTACACACCTGTGGATATTGAAATTTTTTACTGCGTTTTGCTTGTGCCACATATGGAAAATAGACACCCCAATCAAAGATCGAATTGTAAGGTTTCCGTCCGGAATGTGGTGTCAATTCCAGCATATTCTGTGTACCAACACCATGTGCCAAAGCATTTTCCCGTTTTGGTTCCTAAAAAATATTAAACAAAAAATGATGTAACATGTGTATGTGCAATTTGTTCATTCATCTACATATTAGAAGATTCCCCCGTCTGGCGTTTATTTATGCCTTAAGAAGACACAATTATTTATTTATATATTTATCTCTCTATACTTAAGTATATCTACTTATATTTATATGTGCGAAAAATTCTTTTTATAAATGAAAAAAGCACACACACCTCAAACCATCCACGGGTACGTATAACCTGCTCAAGCATATTTTTATTACTATTCTTATGCACTTTTTTCTCCACACTATATTAAAACACTTTTCTTTTTGTTGTTGCTACTACTACACAAAATCGAATTTATTAATTTTTTTTTATTTTTATTTAATTTCCAGCAAAAGGTTCACATTTCCATTATGATAATATTTGTTTGTAGAAAAATCCAATTTGAATACACTAGAAAAGACTAAATGCAGTGATAAAATAAAGAAAACGTGCAAAATTTACCGCAAATTGCAAAATCAAAACAAAAATAAACAATAAAAAATGCCAAAAAAGTGATGCCAGATGGGAAAAGTGAGGAGTGTTCTGTATTTTGTTGACAAGTGGTAACATTAATAAGGAGAGCCAATAGGAAATCTAGAGAAATTTAATAAATATCAGGGAAATAGTCGAGTTTGATTACACCGTACGACAAAAAGAGAAAAATTTCGTTAGACACGAACCGGATGATATTCGTCTGAAACTAAAATTTAATGGAGAAAAACTGCGTTTTCAGTTTTTCATTTCGTGATCCTGTGTCCTTTTTAAAGGACTTCAAAATTTAAAAAAGTACATGTTTCAAAAAATATTTTAAAATACTTCTACTGATCCAACAATGCCGGATATTTCGAAAATATTTTTTATAATATTTATTTTTTACTGACAGGATAAAAAGATGTCAAAAATGTCTTTTAAAATGTTTATCCTTTAATATCTTTCTATTTCTTACGCAGACGAACGAAGAATTAATTGGGAAAAATTGTTTTAAATAAAATTCCGGTAGCCCGAATTTTCTGAAATTTGGCGGTTGTGCGTACAGCTAATGACAATAAAATACTATGTTCGAATATTCGAAGTTATGTTCGAAAAATTTTTTATGGGTGATAAAAACTAAAAATAAAATTTTCGAAAATTCGAACTTAAGTTCGAAACATTTTTAAAGCCATTAAAACCAGTTCTCGTGGCCCGAATTGTCTGAAATTTGGCAGTCTGGAGTACACTGGATGACACTACAATGCTATGTTGGAATATTTAAAATTAAGTTCGAAAATTCGAAGTAATGTTCGAAAAAATTTTGAAGCTGTTAAAATAATCTCAAAATTGGTGATATTCACAAAAATATAATTTTAGTTCTTTTCGAGGCCAATTTCTTACATTTTCTAATTTCGAAATAATGTTCGAATAAATTTTAAAGCTGTTAAAATTATTTCAAAATCTTGGAGATTCACAAAAATATAATTTTTGTTCCTTTTTCTTACTTTATCCAATTTCAAACAAACAAATTTTGAAACGAATTCGCAGTACGAATAATTTGATTGTGTTCCATTCGACAAATTTACGCAACGAATTTTTGTCGACTAGTTCATCGTGCTATACGAAATTCGTCGTTCGTCCCAATTGTGCGTATACCATTACTGTTTCGAAGCTTTGTATTGAAAAACGATTTTTAAAGACATTTTAATTAAATCAGTAGTATTAATCGACAACCGGTTAAATCGACTTAAGAACTCTTTTAATAATGTGTCCCTTCACATAATTTTGTTATTCTACTTACAAACAACATAATGTCGTAAATTCCTTATTTATATAATAACTTGTAACTTATGTACGTTAGTACTGTAACTAAGAGAAAGGCAAATAGTTCCTGAAAACTATATACCGATACTTAATTCTATTTGTATTGGTATTACTATGAGAAATTAGTTCAAAGGGGTATACCATTATCTGGGTAAAATGTTTATAACCTAGAAATGTTGAAAGTAAAAAACTATTGAAACAACTATTTTTATTATGAGAATTTGTAATTTCTAAGTATAAGGGCTTTACAGAATTAAGAAGATTAATTAAATTGCGTTTAAATAAGTATTACGAAATAAATTCAATGACTTTCTTTATCCTCTTAAACCCCTAGTTAAACCTATCTATAGCTGATTTTAGAAAACATATTTTAGTATAGTGGACTGATTATAAAATAACGTCTAGTCACATTTGAAGATATTTATTTTTTTATTTTTTTATTTATAAAGCTGCATCATTTCTTATACATATTACGATTTAAAATTATCAGTGAAAATATTAAATCATACGTTTTTAATATATAGAAAAATAAACGAAATTATTATTTAATTTTTTTAAAAATATGTGGCAATCATTTACAATTAAGTTATTAAGTAAGTCTGTTCTAAATTTATCTTAAAATCCACCTAAATATCAGTAACGAAATTATATAAAATTTTAAACAACTAACATAACTAACTTAATCTAATGGATTAAATAAGAACAGATATTTAAATGTTCCTTGGGCCCATGAAATACATATATATTTAATTAACAGTATATTTCTCCAAATATAGATTAATAAATAAACTTAATTTCTAAAAGCAAATACTTACCGTTTTCGAACCACTTCTAATAGTTATAAGAAAATCATTTAACAATGATGATCTATAATAGTTTAGATTCAAATTAAGATTGGGAAAAATACCAGCAATAATGGCGGGTGCTCTAAAACGATAAAAATCAATAAAAAAAATCGATTAATATTAAAAAAACATAATTTTTTTTTAGGTTTATTATTAAATTACTAATCGTATGCCAAATAATATATGTCTAATCTCTTTATAATCGGTTTTAAAAAGTACAAGGGTTCTTTGAACTTTACCACCATCCAACAAAGCAAAATAATAAATAATAATATTGCTTTTGTTATAAACAAATAAAAATATTTTTATAAAACTTTATTGTACAATATAATAATTAGGTTATATTAAATAAAACTACTTTAAACATAAATATACAAATTTTTTTAATCAAAATAAAGATAATTTAAATTTAATTTTCAAAACACTTAACTACTAAAGCCCCCCTTTAAAACGAAATTTTAGACAGAAGCGATAATAAATTTCTGGCAAATAATTTCACTAATCGTAATTATAATCTAAATTATTAGAGTGTGATAACGCTTAGATGGGTGAATGGGTCATTAGCCCCTACCACTTGACTACTGTTTAAGCTGTGTGCAAAGTAAGTTTTGAATATGTATGTTTTTGTTTTATTTATTTCGATAATTTATTTGTTTGCAGACACATGCCTCGAAGTGCTGACCTTTATAAGTATTATTTGGTTATATCAGATTCTTTCAATGTTGTGCACCTGTTTTTTTAGACAAAAATCTAATTTGCAATACATATTTCTTATTGCAAAGTCGATATTGGTTATCTTAAAGATAAGCATTTTGTTTGTTGTATTTCCAATCAATATATTTTTGAGTCATAAAATGTGAAAAATTCCTATTAAAAATTATGCCGCAGTTTTGTTTCTTCGTACAAATTGTTTATTTTATTGTGTTGAAAATTTAACCACTTGTGTAGATTTACTTTTTTTAATCTTTTGTAAACTTTGTACTTTAATTTAATAAATATGACTAAATTTTTATTTTGTACTTGCATTATGTTTTTTTTTTTTTTCAATTCCTTTCTTATTATATTACGATTAAGTTAATTTGAACAGTGGGATTATAAAGTATCGATAAATATAATGATTTGAAGTAATTATAATAAATAATATGTGTTTATATTGATTAAACCATTTTAAATTGAAATTAAAATGAGATAATATTTGATAATAATATTTTTGAACTCTCGACACTAGTCCGTTATTCTAACAATAATCAAGGTCCTCTGCCTTGACCGCTATTATAACAACATTTAAATATAAACTAAGCGTTCGGGTTAATATTAAGAAATGTACTGATTAAAAACTAGTTACAGGACTATATCTTTGGAGTGACTGGTATTATGAGACGTACAATTGATAACTTTCAGACATTGACCAGTGATACAACATTGAACAAATCTATAAGAATCTGTTCCATTTATTTTATACGGTTCACAAATCTGGTCCTGGAACCATTTGTTCTAAATTTTTAACAAAAGCAATAAAACTATATCTACCAATATATTTCTTCTTATAAATGGTGTATTGTTGTGTAATAAAATTTTATTGTTATAAACAATTAGAGCCATTATAAATTAATAATTTTTTTATTAAAATCAGATTAACATTTTTAAAAGTTCACATGTAAATCAACACTTAGTAACATTTATAGTAAGATTATTTTTTTAAATTATTGATTAAAACGTTTTTTATTGAGGAAAATTATTTTAAAATTATTTAAAATTTAAATCATACGTAAAAGGAAATGTAAAAATTGAAGTAATTTAGGAATTATATAAGTATGGACAAGTTCTGGATTGCAGCAATTATAAAGTGTTCATTAAAAAACTTTAAACAATAGTTATTTCCGTTATTTATATTTTATTAACGACTTGATTTCTACAATAAAATTTCTTAATTTGTATCGAAACTGTTTTTGAACAAGACCCATAAAACTTACGGGTTTGCACCTAATCTAGGTTTAACGTGATTCGTGATTATAGTCTAGTCTATAGCACTTAATTCGAGTCAAAATTTTTCCAACACAACAGATTTACCAAATATTACGTCCTGAAGTTTGAGAACGCTTATTTTCGGATTTGTTCAAATTTCGTTGATCTGTGTTCCATAACAAATAATTTTTTAATTGAAATCCATTACTAAGTAATTCCTTAAACATTTAAAAATTTGTCTTCATTCATTAGGTGAAAACTTGAATGTAAAATATTTACAATTTGTTTGTTTATTTTATATTTGAATTTAATTAACAAATGTTTAAATCATTCAATACCTGTATGAATTTCATTAAAAATGAATGCAATACTGAATGAACTCAACAATGAATGCTTCCATAAAAAAATATTTGAATAAATCTAAAGAATAAGGTTTCTTGGGAATATTTTTATGAAAGGTAAATATCTCAATTTGTATTAAATATAATTTGTTTTACATATACATACATATATTTAATTATTTTCCAATTAAAACCGGGTCAATTAATAGACCTTTAAATTAAATACATAATTAATACAAAATTAAAAAAAATAAGTAATTATTGTGCCTATTTGTTGTTGCTAAAAATAGTACGTGCCGTTTTTTAAGAATAAAATTATTTTAATGTAACACTATAAAAAACAACGAGGGCAATGGACTTGATTTACAACTGGACTTATATATCAAATGCAAACGAAAAAAAAATTATAAGTACTACTTATATTGTGTATATAATAAAAGTCTTATAAATATTAACTAACAACAAAAAAATAACAATAATAAAAATACAAATTCGTCATAGTTAAACAATGATATGAAAAGGCTTTTGTTACATTTATAAATAAAACATTTGTAAAAGTAATTTTACAATAAATATTACATTTACTACTTGCTTTTGTTAAATTAATGAATTTAAATTTTTTTTATAAATTACAAGAATTGTTAAAATATTGTTGAATATGTTTATGAACAAATTTTAACGGTAATTTTCGTCAAATATTTGATGATGAGAACAAAGCTTAATCATTTTAATGAAAATGTTTTGCTGATTTTACAAAAACTAAAAGTATACTTAAATTGAAAATTAATATAAAACTTTTTTAATCTAATATAAATAATTTTATTACAGATTTTAGAAAAACAATATTAAATTATTTACGTCATTAAATAAGAGAGTGCAGAATATTTTTATTGTTTCAAGATTGACGTGAGTTCTTTTATTGTAATTATTTGTATTGTATAATGAATTGCAATCAATAATTTTTAATTTGCATAATTTTTTAAATAAAATATTTATTAATCTTATTTAATAGGCTAATTTAATTTGCACTAAATATTTATGCAACTTTCGAAAAAAGCGTGTTGATTATTTTATTTTTTTAACTAAGATGCTACGATGTTATTAGATAATTATTTGATTTTTTTAGTAATATTTAAGAATATTTCGTGTAAAATACGAAGTTTTACGAAAGTAAGAAATTATTACATGTTTTTTCGAACATACAATGAAAATAATCCTTGCTTAACTTTACGAAAAAAATAATCGTAACTACTTTTTTGGTAATATTATGATAATTTTGTACATAATACGAAATATTTAATAAAACCCTTTTCGAACTTTACGAAAAGAAATATATACAGAAATTGTTAATTATTTTACGAAAACAATTTCGTTTATTCGTAGCAAAATTATTTCGTGATTTTAAAGAACATTTCTTGTATATTACGAAATAATTTCATTAAAATAAAGTTTCATTCTTTCTTAATATTAAAAAAAAGCGTTTAAAATTTTATAATAATTGTTCGTGCAATAACGCCGACATTTTTGGATGCTATAAAATTTATATAATTTCTTTTAAATTGCCATTTTAATTGTCAAAAAAAACTTTGATGCTAAACCTCGTATTTTTATTTTTAGCTTAAAATTTGAGCTTTGACATAAAATAAAAAATTAATACAAACCGCGTTTGGTTTATGGTTTGTCAAATAATATAAATTACACGTATTTTAATATTTAAAACGTAATTGAATATTTAACTAATTATATTGTAATACTCTACTCTTAATTTATAATAAAAAAACAATTAAAAAGATATAAAACAAAAAAATATGAGCTAAAAATAAACACTTTAAATGCAAAATACGCATTTGACTGGATAATGTTCAAAATTGTAATAAAAAAATTTAGGTCAGTTTTTTTCAAAACTTAAGTACAAATGCTCTTCATAGGTAGAACTATTACTTGTAATTTAAGTATTAGCAATTAAATTATTATTTGTAATTGTAATCTTACTTGTATTTAATTGATAAATTAAATTTTATAAAAAATTAACTGCATTCGTTACTATTACCTTTTCTGAATTGTGTAATTTTGAACTGTTTCGCATTACAATTAAATTTAAATGTAATTGATTATAAATACTTTACTTGTATTTAATTGATAGATTGAAGTTTATACCAAAAAGTAACTGTCAAAGTAATCATTATATTTTTTGCATTCGTTACTATTACTTTTTCTGAATTGTGTAATTTAGTTAGTTAGTTTGAAAGGAGGATGTATATAATTCAAATCCGAAGAAATACACCTAGGCCTCTATCGGGCCTGTTGTGCGCTCCTTAACCAGTGCCTCAGGTGGGAATCGAATCCACCGCCTCTGGTCTACCAGACTAGAACACTAACCACTAACCTACCGGAGGCCACAATTGTGTAATTTAGAACTGTTTTCCATTACAATTGAATGTAATTGGTAATATGTAGTTTAATTACATTGTACATTACAAGTAATTGTAATTGAATATGTAATGAATTACTTAATGTAATCATGACCATTAACCAATAATCGTGTTTTGAAATAATATATTTGTGAATAAAAGTAAATCAAAATCAATTTTAAACTTTTTTATTTTTGAGTTATTTCTGTCTAAAATCAACCGAAAACTGAGCGAAACCCAAGTACAATATTGTTCGAAACCGAAGCAACTTTTATGAGTATGCAAACAATCAAAACTGATTTCAATTTATAATTTTCATTAATTTTTAATTCGGCTTAAAATTTTCGAATTCATCACCTTTTTTAATCAATCTCTGGATGTTTCAAAAGCTTAATTCTTTAATTTCCAAGAGAATTCATTCTTTATGGAATGAGTAAGTGAATGTTTTTTAATTCCTTTTATCATAATTTGAATGAAATTCCGTTTAAAAAAGTTTTAAAAATTTTAAAACAAAATTTTTATTCAATCTATTTCAGTTGTTCATTCAATTTGTAATAGATGGATGAATTTAAAATTATATGGGAATGTTTGCAATTCTTTTTAATTCAATTTGTAATAGATCGAAAAGGATTATTCATTCATTAATGAATGGATTCTTGAAATTAAAGCACAGGAAATAAATACGTTTGAAGAAAGTGTAATAATAATTTCGATATTTTGGTGATTTTTTACAAACCGATTTAAATAGAATTATTTGATTACATTGTGAGAAAAAATTGCTTAAATTTCGACCAATACTGTATACCGTTACAAAAGTAAAATGTTCAAATTCTTACCTGGTCTTAGCATATAACAAATAAAGTAGAAACGCCAATGAGGCCGCTTCAGCACATCCCAACAGAGAGAACTCTAGAGCTCCCTGTAGAAAATTGAAGACTGTTGTTATCATGACGTGGCCGTGCCCAGGAAACGCGGAAAGAGGGGAAGGGAGGATAGGATAGTGGTATGATAGGAGACGGGCGGATTAATATTATAAAAATATTAAATAAAAAGGATTCTAAAACATGAACTTTGTTCGTATTTTTGGGGTGGATAAGAGTATAAAAGGAAACAAGAAAAGTATGTGGAAGAAAAGAATTGTTTTTTGTTGTTGCCGGTTTTATGCTGCAGCTGAGTGTTCGGCTGATGTCTGCTGTTGTTGCTTTATGATTTATATTGTTTATTGTTGTTGTTTTTTTACTGCACTTTGTACTTTAAACTATTTTATTTTTTCAGTAAGTTTTTTATAGTTTTTTTTTGTAATGATTATATGTTTTATTGTGGTTTTTGTTGTTAAAATTTATAGTTATCAAATGTTAAGTTCATTTTTTTCTGCCAGCCCATTGCCGTAGTGCAGGGAATGTTTTTGTTGTTTTAAATTTTTAATAATTCGTTTTTTATTTATTGATAAGAATTAGTGTTTTTGCAGTTGTTGCTATAGTTATCACTCTGCAAAATCAAATTGGAATAAATTGAGATGCTGTTATATTTCATTTTTTTTTTGTATTTTAACTTAAAAGTGCAAAATGTTAAGCCGCAAAAAATCTTTATACACTGTGTTAAATTCGTTTAAATGCGCAGTACATTTTAGTGTGACAGTTCATTGTCATGAGATTTAATTAAAATTGTAATATTTCATTAAAATGTATTTACTTTATTAGATTAAACATTTTACTTGATAAAAGGATGCCGAACTATTTCTATCAATAGAATTGGTTAAAAAATTGTTGAATTCATTTTGGAAATGCAGCGATAAGAATTATAATTTACTGAATTAAAAGCCAGAAATTATTATATAAAAAATAAAAAAATAATTGGGGAACCCATTTTTTCGAAGATTTGATAACCTACTACACAACAACTACATAATTTATACTAATGTAGGGTATCCTTAACCAGCCTGGATCCTTTCTATACATACTTTAATTGTTTAATCCAATAAACTGTTACCTAGAAAATCTCAAACAATCCTGAAACCCTGAACTTGTGTAGGTACACCTAAAATTTTAAACAACAAACCTTAAAAGGTCGCAACTATTTAAACACGTTCTTTAAAAGAACAAAAAAGAAGAAACTTGTATGTTAAACGAATTCCACAGAGTGTATGATGATGGTTGGAAGACGCCAAAATCTGACAACCGCCACCGTATACTATTTTTTTTTTTTTTGTATTTTGTATACATTTGCGTTTTATTTCATTAAATACACAAGAGTATAAAAAATTAAATAAATAAAATAAAATGTATAAAAAATCAGTAGTAGAACAAACTAAAAATGAAAACAAAAAAATATATAAAAATATCGTATGATCGGCAAAATGTTTTTGTTTTGTTTTCATTTTGTAGACGTTTTGTCTTTTTTGTCTTGTTTTTATTTTATTTTTTTATTTATATTACTCTTTAACACTTTGTTGTTGTTGTTTTGCAGTAAATTGCACATGAACACTCATACACACTTTCAAACAAAGTAAAAATGGCAACAACAATAACTGCTCAACATTTATGCAACTTTTAGGATTTGTTTGTAATTTTCTTTCTTCGCAGGAAAGTTAATCAAGTTAAGTTTTTTTTTTTTTTTGTTTTAAATTTATGTGTATAACCAACTATACATACAAATCATAATCATGATTTGTATAAATAACTCTTCTGTAATTTTCTCTTACTGCTTTAACTTAACAACCGGCATGCAAAAATATGTTTAAAACACCAACCATTAATTTGTTTCTCATAAATAGTTATTAACACTTTTTAATTATTTTTTGTCTAATTTTTTGGTTAAATAATTTGTTATACTTTCTTTTACATCACTTCTTTTTTTGTTAATAACAAAAGCAACAAATTAATTTTTTAAAAACACACAAAATATCGTTTTAATTTATTATTGGCCTGTCTGCCTTCACAGACATATTAACCACCACCGTTCCAGACAAGCTTTACGTTTAAAATGTTTGCTTTAGCTCAATAACTCTTGTTTATTAATTAATTTTCAATTAGAATTTATTTATATTTTCTTTTATTTCGCTATTTTTTCACTCTGTGTACGACACGACACATTGTTGTATCTTCTACTACGTCTGATTTACTTCAATTCAATTATAATACAACGACAACAATAAATAATAAAAACCAACAAATTTGTACTCGTACTTATAGTGGAGATCCCAAACACAAAGAGCGCAAAAAATAAAAACCACTTTCTTTGCATATCAGCGCAGTAATGATAATTGCGGTTACAAAAAAGTACTTTTATTTTGTAATACATACTATTTGGTTTAAGTACTAAATGTTCGAATTATATCTGATAGATAGATAGATAGATAGATAGATAGATAGGTAGATAGATAGATAGATAGATAGATAGATAGATAGATAGATAGATAGATAGATAGATAGATAGATAGATAGATAGATAGATAGATAGATAGATAGATAGATAGATAGATAGATAGATAGATAGATAGATAGATAGATAGATAGATAGGTAGATAGATAGATAGATAGATAGATAGATAGATAGATAGATAGATAGATAGATAGATAGATAGATAGATAGATAGATAGATAGATAGATAGATAGATAGATAGATAGATAGATAGATAGATAGATAGATAGATAGATAGATAGATAGATAGATAGATAGATAGATAGATAGATAGATAGATAGATAGATAGATAGATAGATAGATAGATAGATAGATAGATAGATAGATAGATAGATAGATAGATAGATAGATAGACAGATAGATAGAGATAGATAGATAGAGATAGATAGATAGATAGATAGATAGATAGAGATAGATAGATAGATAGATAGATAGATATAGTTAGGTAGGTAGATAGATAGATAGATAGATAGATAGATAGATAGATAGATAGATAGATAGATAGATAGATAGATAGATAGATAGATAGATAGATAGATAGATAGATAGATAGATAGATAGATAGATAGATAGATAGATAGATAGATAGAGAGATAATAGATAGATAGATAGATAGATAGATAGATAGATAGATAGATAGATAGATAGATAGATAGATAGATAGATAGATAGATAGATAGATAGATAGATAGATAGATAGATAGATAGATAGATAGATAGATAGATAGATAGATAGATAGATAGATAGATAGATAGATAGATAGATAGATAGATAGATAGATAGATAGATAGATAGATAGATAGATAGATAGATAGATAGATAGATAGATAGATAGATAGATAGATAGATAGATAGATAGATAGATAGATAGATAGATAGATAGATAGATAGATAGATAGATAGATAGATAGATAGATAGATAGATAGATAGATAGATAGATAGATAGATAGATAGATAGATAGATAGATAGATAGATAGATAGATAGATAGATAGATAGATAGATAGATAGATAGATAGATAGATAGATAGATAGATAGATATACATATTAATGGATGAGTGGAAAAAAATTTATAGACAAATTTAAAAATTGATTTTTATTGAAAATCTACTTTCTTTTAAAAAAATCAATTTCGCAAACTTTTGGCCATGTTTTCACGTTTAATGTAATAAAGTACTTTCAGTTCGTAATCATCATCCCATACAATAAAACATTTATTTTTTCCATTCCCATTACGACTCTCTTTTAAATCTTTTACTCTCTCATATCTTTTACTTATTTTTAATTGATTAATACTAGTACTAAGTACTAAGGTAACGTGGGTTGTGTACAGAATAATCAAAATGTATTTGCACGAGTTTGTTTTTGTCTTTCTATTATATTTTCATCATCATCAGAACATACCCACGACGACAACATAAAATCGAATAGAATACATTGTATGTTGTACATTCGAGAGATTTTGATAAGGAAAAATACATATTGATAATGAAAAAATTTATGATGTTGGTGTGAAGAACATTTAAATTAATTCATAGAGTTTTTGTCGGTCATAGGCTTTCTTTTTTATTAAAATAATTTCCTTTTCGCACAGCTTCTTAAAATTTTGTATGGTTTCTCCTGTGTTATCTGTATAAATGGCATAAAAATTACTCTTTTTGTTTTCATCTCTCTTTGTATTTAAAATACAAATATGTATGAAAATTTGTATTTCAGTTTATTTTTAATGGAAAATTACTTAAATATTTTTGTTGGATGTTGCAGATCTACTATGTATGTATGTACTTCGTGATGCATAAAGAGAATAAATACATTCATACTGTAATTGCTTTGTAATTACTTTATGCAAAATATATAAACAACAAAGTTTAAAGATTTCAAGATCAATGTTTTTATTTTCTTCTGACATACTAAAATTAGATTTGTATTTTACATATTTGTAAGGGAGTTTATTCCAATATAAAGTATTTTACTATTCGTCTATTATCTATTAAATGAAACGTATACTTATTTGATTTTAATTAGAAATTTAATTATTAATCATACGCCATATAATGATGACATATGGCCTGTTATTTTTTGGGGAAAATTTTCGAAATCATTAAAAATTCAAATAATAAATACAACATTCATATCATAAATCAATTTATTTAAAAACTACATTAAATTAAAACTAATCTTTGATTATTTTTTAAATATTAGACGGTAAATTTTAAATACAATTAAAATAAGTACCTAAAAATTTTAGAGAAAATTTAGTAAAAACAAATTATATCGCTACATACATATACTTTTCGAAAAAAGTCGAAAAAAGTCGAAAAGTCGGAAAAAGTCGAAAAGTCGGAAAAAGTCGAAAAGTCGAAAAAAGTCGAAAAGTCGAAAATAGTCGAAAATTTTAAAAAAGTGGAAAAGAGGTCAAAAACTCTAAAATAGTCGGAAAAACTCGAAAAAAGTAAAAAATAGTCGAAAAAAGTCGAAATAAGTCGAAAATAGTCAAAAAGTCGTAAAAAATCGAAAAGTCGAAAAGTCGGAAAGAGTCGAAAAGTTGAAAAAAGTCGGAAAAAGTCGAAAAAAGTCGAAAAGTCGAAAAAAGTCGAAAAGTCGAAAAAAGTCGGAAAAAGTCGAAAAAAGTCGGAAAAAGTCGAATAGTCGGAAAAAGTCGAAAAGTCGACCATTTATAAAATACTAAAAGTCGAAAAGTCTAAAAGTCGACTTTTAAATAAATGAAAAAGGTCGAAAAGTCGAAAAATCGACTTTTCATAAAATGGAAAAAGTCGAAAGGTCGAAAAGTCGACTTTTAACTAAATGCAAAAAGTCGAAAAGTCGACTTTTCGTTTCAACTATAGAACCCTAGTTACGATCGTAATGCAGAATACACACAATCGTTAAGCATTGAAACAAAATGGAAATGCTTCTTCTTTTTCATACGATTCCGTTTCTTGTTGGAATAGAAATTTTCGATCGTAGCGTAACTGAATGCGGAAACGTAATCGAAATGTTGCATAGGGGTGATTATATAAATTTTGAAAGCTTAAATATGTATACCCTTCTCACGAAGGTGGAGGGTTAATAAAAGAGTTGCACAGAATTTCATTCCAAACGGAAGTGGAATTATGTTCGTATTTTGCTAAAACAAATCCACCTTTTTCAAAATGGATTTGATATTTGTTTGTAATTAATACATTTTTCTCACATTTTTATATCCTTCACATTTATGAGAAGGGTATATCGTCGCCTGAAACGCAAACGGCCCAAACTAACCAAAAATTCAAAATCGATTTTATTGTTGATTCTAATGTATTGCATCAAAACAAATGTCCACTCCTCCAACCAAAATTATCGATATTATTGACAAAATACAAAAGGCCCTATCTACAAAAACATTTAAATGTTGAAGGTAAAAAGTCCAATATATCCATTTTTATATACGCCATTGTCAACTATCATAACAAAGTATAGGTTTCACTATTAAACAATTTATTTAATTACTACAAACAATTCGCGCTGATAGAAACAAACTTTTCAATTTAAATAGTTTTTTGCACCTCCAGTAAAATTTTTAAAATGTTAGATATTACCGTTTGCGTTTTAGCTGACGATATACATACAGTATTGTTCGAAACCTAAGCAACTTTTTTTGGCATTGTATACAAAGTGCTATATTTTCTATTTTAATTGATTTATTCAAAATTATATAATTGATAATAATAATATTATGTGTCTACATTATAATAACAACAACAAAAGTTTAAATCCATTTCGCTGTGAGTTATAAGAAAATAATAACTGAATTAACTCCATAAATAGCTGTTCGAAACTGAAGCAACTTTTTGATCTTCATATGAAAATCTTTGATCCTTTTGAGTTCCAAACACATTTATGGAATAGATTAGTTACTAGTGTAGTTCGTAATGAATCCCAATCGGATTTTAAGCCACTCGCCAGCTGTAATGTTTTCTAAAACCGCGAGTTTCAATGTACTTAATCCTTTGGTTTATTTTGTTGGCCAAAAATGTCCCAGAAAGTAAAACAATCCAATTTATTTGTATTTCAACATCAGGACTTACTCTACTCACTAAAAATCTTGCCCATAACCTTAATTGTGTGACCTCCATGCTTTTTTAAGTCTTTAATGTACGATGATGTAACCGCATATGAATCCCGCAGTGACATGGCACAGAGTTTACTTAAAGAAATTCGATTTTTTCAAAAATTTTGTACAATTTTGGGTAGAATATTGAAATAGATTACGCAAGACTAATAAAAACAGTTTTATTTACAAACGGGTCCACATTTTCCGTCTTAAATTCAAACAGAGTATGCGAGGCTCAGAGGCTGAAGGAAATATTACAATATACCCTTTTAGTAAAGGCCCAATAATGAATAGAGAGCAAAATTTTAGGGTGTGGCTATGTTTTTTAAAGAGAAGAGTTAGTCCTGATGTTGAAACACAAACAAAGTTGGATTGTTTTTCCTTTTGGGACGTTTTTCGCCAACAAAATGAATCATATGATTGAGTACATCGAACAGATCAACTTACTTTATTGCGATTTTCAGCATGATAATGAACCAAAACCTTTGGCAAAGTTGATCTAAGAGTTGTTATCGGGTAATAGGACCCAAACTCTTTGATTGCTCATCAAAATTTCCTGACTCAAATCCCTTAGAGATGCTGTTCGGCGTTTTGAAGTGCTGTTTCGGAACTCGC